ACTAAGATAACGTATAAGACTGTATCATCTGAATTAAAAGCTTTCGATATCTCATATGTCTATGCACCTGGTCAAAACAAGTAGCGTGGTATCTTTGAGCATTTTTAATTATTGTCAAAAAAGCGCAAGCGAAAGAAAAATAGTATAAAGTTTTCACAACATTGCGACATTACAGCTGTTTAACTGTTGTGTTATACGCTTGAGTTGCGCTTTCTACGCACTAGTTAAAACTAGTCAGAATTTGTTGGCGTCTGCCGAAGAACTCAGGTTTCCGCTCCCAGGGTAGATGGCGACATATTTTTGCTAGGCATACTTACCATAGTGCCACGTTTTGTACAATCAAATTCTACTGGTAACAGCACAGGCGGCTAAGCGGCTACCATTCAGATGCATACAAAGTAAATAAGCGTGAATTAGTGTTTGACGCACTTCTGTCAGAAAAAAAATTACATTGCACTGGACTAACTCACTGACCCACTCACTCACTCACTCGCTGGAACAGTCATCTACCCCAGCCTTCTCACTTATACGCGCGTGCTCATACTATGTTGAAAAGAGGACGCGAGATATTTCTTAAGGAAAGTCCATGGTCGAGAGTACCAACAGAGCACGTAATGGTCACGTAAAGTACGTAGATGCATCTGAATCAAACGGCGTCCATGGCGCCCTCTCGAGGCCTGCGAAACACTGTGATAACGTCGGCCCAAAATGATGCCACTGCTCACCCGGTTATAGGGCTTGGAGTGAGTTCAATACAGGCGATGCCCACTCAAGAGATTGGACTCATATTTCACCACGATGAAGTACTTGTTTTTCTCCTGAGCAAAACGTCCACATTGACGATCCCCAGAAAATCGGGACGGGTGCGCAACGCGATATTGAATGTCCAACCCACGAAATTTGGGTAGGTAGGAAAAACTCTACGCTTACTACACGCTCGTAGATGAAAGCAAATACGCAACAAAATCAGGCAAAAGGACGAAGGCAAAAGAATTGATTATGAATAATAAAACATACCAAAATATTCTAAAATACAAGCCTGTATTGCGACGTAAACCCTCATGATAGCGTACGAGAACGCTTGCAGGCAACGCAATTAGGAAAAAACCTAAGAGAGCTGGAAAAACTCGACTGCGCACAATATAAGATAATTGCCTCACAGTGTAGCCTATAACCTGGTACTATATACCGGTCTTACTTAGAATATAAATCAATCTTCCCACCAGTGCGGTGAAGACTGGGGAAGCAGCGTAGGTAATGGCCTTCCCTTTCTCCATTTTCTCATCTTCCCTTTCGCTTTTTTTTCGTCTCTTTACTGTACTATACAGCACAACACATGCTATGATTATCCTCTCCCCTTCTGATTTTCCTTCTCTTCCTCCTCACTTCGCTTTTGCAGAAACAGGACGCGAGCTTGTGCCGAACGTAAAACCTGAAAGTGTCTATGTGTTTACATACGTGATGCACCCCTCCATTTGTCAAGTAGGGTCTCTCCGCCTCTCTCTCCCCTCCTCAGCTCGGCAAGTGAACTGTAGCACTGCCGATCCCATTCGAAGAGCGCTGGTGTTGACTTTTCCAGCAGTAAGGCATATTCCGGGCGAATGATCACCCTCGAATTTACTGGGTAATGATGTATTCACAGTTATTACGTTGACCTAGCTTATTTTGGGGATTAACTTTACTCATTTCCTGTCTTAACTTGTGGTCCTACTCAGCCTAAGATGTCCGCTTAGTAGTTATGAAAAGTAGTTATGAAAGCTGCATATAAATATATCATTTTAATTTATTTACAGTATTTCCGTACAGCTTTCTTGAAACAACATTTACATTTAATAGGCTAGCATAGCATCTCTGTTCATTTCCCTGTGTTCTCAGAGAACCTTTCGCCTCACATGTTTCACATACAGTGAAAGTTAGTAGTAGTGGGAGTAGTAGTAGTAGTAGTAGTAGTAGTAGTAGTAGTAGTAGTAGTAGTAGTAGCAGTAGTAGTATGTGAACAAAGAAAAAAGATGTTCTCTTCTTTTTCCGCATATTTCGTCACACTAGCCGAGTGCACACGAGAGCAAACAGACCATTGCGAACAATATTTCATAAATTCACTGAAATCTGAGCCATTTCCTTTCCCCTAACCCTCAGTGGGTATGGACCATACTTTACTGGCGTACAAAGGGAAGAGCGTGACTCGTGCGAACGCGTGTCACGCGCAAGGTCATTGCCAGAAGCTCCCGTGTTCCGTGCTTTCTGCCAGTCCTACATTCTGCAAGATGACGTGCTGGCGTCTTTCAATGCTTCTACTAATGTTCGGCAGCTTCTCGCAGACTGCTACCGAAGGTACGTGTATGACATAGTGATGTCTATGTTTATTAATTTCCGCAATGGTTTTGCTGAAGGTCTTATCACTTCATTCGATTGGCCAAGGTTCCTGGGCGCGTTTTTTCTGCCTATACGCTGTTCACTTTTGTGTATAGGTCTCTCATTGTCGTGTGTTTAAAGATGTAGTCTCCCAAGTTTCAGTGAGCCGTGTAGTTTGGTTGCTGTAAGCCTCGTATTCTAGCCTATAGGCGTTTAGTTGTCCGTAGTATTCGCAACTTCCACGTATCGTGGCACCACTGAGTGGTGGCGGCCGAAATCTCTGTGGAAATTATTACACTTTTGAACCTGTTTCAAACAGCAGAGGCTTCAGCTTGTTTTCACGATTTAGGGCTTTTTTTTCAACGTCGTGAAAGGTCTCCAGGTTACTGTAGCCCTTCGAGTTTCCCAAGTTAAAGAGAAAATAGAAAGAAAAAGAAAAAATGACAGATCCCACGTACAGTGGGAATCGATGATATGCGAAGCACAAATGAGGGAGGGTGATGAGTCACTTTGAAATCAGTACAACGTTAGGAGGTGCAGGTAAAATATGCCGTAAATTACTTCTATGTCATGATTATCATGTTTGGACGTTTCATTTACCTTCGCCATCTATTAACGTCACCTGGTACCAACACTGTATATATGGAGCTAACGAAACGGCCACGACCGTGCTGTGACCATAGCATGTAATCATGTTTTACATGAAACGCCTATTATGAATATCCGGTTTGGACGTATCATTTACCTTCATCGTCCATTCATTTCCCGTGATACCAAATTTGTACATATAGAGCTAGCGCAACAACGGCAAGCGCATCATGAAGGACCCGATACACTCCGACGCAACGTTCACGCACGCGAAGGTGTGGCGCTGCGACGCCACGCTAGCAAAACGCGGCACTTTATAGTATGACGCCAGGCGCAACCGGCGCAGCGAGCGTCCGTCAGCGCGGCCCAGTGTCAAGCGGCGCGAAATGCGACATGCTGCATTTCGCGCCAACGACGTTACTTAGAGAGCACCACGTCTGCCTCTCTTCAGGACGGAGAGACGCTGTGTGTGCTCAAACGTACATGCGTCAAAACAACGCAGCGCAGCGTGTGCCTGTGAGTGTATGGCATGCAAATCCACAATGAAGGACCGTGGGCAGATCCACTGTTTTCTACAAGGCGGATATTGGCGCCTGGTGTGGCATCGCCGGCGTGACGCCATAAAACGAACTCCGGAGCGCACGAGCACGGGCTCGCGCCGAAGTGTATTGGTGCCTTGAGTGTGGCGTGTATTAATGTTCTTACAAAACACTCATCTCATGATTATTATGTTTTCACCAGTCACATACCTTCGCCATCCATTCTCGTGACGTAATACCAAATTTTGGCATATGTGAAGGTAGCGAAATAGCCGCGGGCGCATCATGAGTGCGGGGCGTAGTCTCGTTGTGACAGGACCCGCATATCATGATTATCGTGTTTGCACCAGTACCATACCTTCGTCATCCATTCACGTCTCATATTACCGAAATTGGTTCATGAGAAGCTAGCGAAACAGCCGCGAGCGCGCCATGAGCATGACATGTAGTCATGTTGTTACATGACACGCATCTCATGATTATCATGTGTGCATCAGTCACATACTTTCGTCATCCATTCACGTTTCGTGATACCTAATTCGGTATATGCAAGCCAGCGAAACGGCCTGGGTGGGTGGGTGAATGGATGGATGGGTGGATGGGTGGATGGATGGGTGGATGGATGGGTGGATGAATGGATAGGTGGGTGGGTGGGTGGATAGATGGGTGGGTGGACGGACGGACACATACGCTCTGAGTCACCGAAGTTTGCCAAGAAATGCTTCGCATTTAAAAGCCAACTGATTTCACTGCGAGCCTCGATGCTCACAGCCTATATACACCGGGAGGAAAATTAAATGTCCTGTTCAAATTAGTGCCCCAAAAAGCCATCAGGTGTTAATAGGATTAGTTAGCAGATAAATAACCAAGGCCCGTGAATCTATGCACCAACAATTTTTTGGTATGAGAGCAGCAACTTCCAGGTCTGCAGTTATCGCGCTTAGTCCGCTTGCTCGATGCGTTCCGCTTCTAGAACAAATTGAAAGGACCGGTTTGAAAACGTTTATCGCATCATTACACATCTGAGGCGTATGCGAAGTGCTTCCATCACCTTCACATCTGCAGCAATTTGTGCAGCATTGCGCGTGATTACGTATAGCCAGCATTGTGAACAGTGTCTATGTGTGGGCGTTATTTACGATTTCGCGCATATTTATCTTTTCAATATGCTACCAGGCATTTATTTACTTAATATAGTATGTTAGCGCTCTCCTACTTTCTCAAAAACATACATCCAAGGTCCACTGAAGCGCAAAGAATTGCAGTCTTCGCCAAAAGTCTACTCTTCGCTACCGTCTCTTTCAGGGCGATCATCTCATGACCACCATGTTGAATGTATAGTCGCGCCACCCATAGGTCGTGAAAGTTGCGAATCGCTACCGTTGCTCGCGCCTCCATGTGTAGCTTGAATGTCTATCTTAATGACGTACATTAGTGGCGCACTGTCTTCATAGCTCACATGCTGCTTTGTCATGGCGTACCGCAGAACCTGACTTGGTTCTTTTGCTCACCGAATCACGCATGCATGCAGCCCGCCGTCTCAACCGTTTCGTGCGCCACTTCGAGCCCCTGTCGTACGAGCCACGAACGGTGCACCGAGGCCACGTACGCGTGCGACGATCACTTGGCGGCATCCAGCCACAGCTGCAACAGCAGAACCACCATGTTTATGTTCGCTTCCAGGGCTTCAATAGGCAAGTCTTTCACTGCACAAATTTGGAGCGTACATAGTAGTCCATTTCTGTCAGTTCAAGCAGTTGTGTAACTGGGCGGATTGTTTGCGTCTACTGTGCGTACTCTAAGGCTGCGAGACTATGAGCAACTTGCTTTTACTCATTCATTGCCTGTGTTCCTTCGGACATATAATTATGGTGGTAGTTTGTATGGCTTCTCTAACAAAATATATGTGTCAAGCAAGCAAGGAAATTGTAATATTTGCCTAAATTTGATTTTTTTTACCTGAAACGGCATAGCGGTTATAAAGCAAGCGTTTTAAGATTGAACTGTTGCATTATTTATTTATTTGTTTATTTATTTATTTATTTTTTTATCATACTGTTAACACTGACTTGAGGGTCATTACAGAAAGGGTGAAGAATTGAGTTGCACAAAATTAAATATTTGAAAAATCGTAAGATGAACTCTGTAACATATAGCATAATCATATAAGCAACACAGTTACATGCTTTTTCACTCAATATATTTACAACATGATCTCTATGACCAATGAAACATTTCAGGAAACACATACATGAACCCTGATAACTATACATTTTCAACAAAATGCTTATCAAGAGCAACTTCAAAATCACTCAAAGTTCTTCTTTGCTCCATATCATTCGGTAATTCATTCCACATGATAAAAGCATCAGGAAAGAAGGAAAATCGGAAGATATCTGTACGAGCATGTACTGGTTGTATAAATGTTGTGCATGTTGTTCTTGGAAACCTTTTGTAAGAATGCTTTAAATAATCATCCCTGTTTATTTTCAACCCGGCATGCAGGATCTGAAAAACAAGTTTCAACCTTTGTTTCCGCCTTCCTAATTCTGGCGATTCTAATTTACATTCTTTTAGCATTTCAGTAACAGAATCGCTTCTTCGATATTTGGAGCAGATAAAGCGAGCTGACATTCTCTGAATGCGTTCTAATTTATTTTTAAGACCTTTTGGGGTGGGCTCCACACAGCGCTAGCGTATTCTAATCTCGGACGCACATACGTTTTGTAGGCAAGCAGCTTGACATCTTTTGTGGCTCAGCCTAACTTCCTTCGTAGGAAGCACAATTTTTGACATGCTGATTGACAGATGTCATCGACATGAGGACGCCAGCTCAACTTATCTGTTATAGTTACACCCAAGTATTTAAAATTACACACTTTCACCAGCATATTATCCCCAATGTTATATGCAAACGAAAGCACTTCCTTCTTTTTGTAATGTGTTTGTAAGTGGATTTTTTAATGTTAATTTCCATACCCCATTTCGAACACCATAAGTTAGGGTTTGTAAGCACTGATTGATAATAACTTGATCTTCGCTGCATGATACCGGACAATAGATTAGGCAGTCATCTGCAAATAGCATAATTTTTACTGGTGGTTGGACAACTGATGATATGATGAGTATGATGATGTGATGATGATATGATATGATGATGATGATGAGTAGGGGCCCAATTACAGATCCTTTAGGGACTCCCGAATACACCTCCCGATTCTCTGACATAGCATCTCCCACTCTAACTGCTTGTTGTCGATTGCTTAGATACGCTCTGATCCAACTGAGAACATTTTCACTAATACCGACATTGCGAAGCTTGAATAGCAGCTTACGGTGTGAAACTCTGTCGAACGTCTTTGAAAAATTGATACATATAACATCAATTTGCATACAAGCATCTACAGCTATACACAAGTCATGTATAGTTTCAACCAGTTGTGTGACTGTTGAAAGGCCACCGCGAAATCCATGCTGAAAAGGGCGTAATAATTCATTTTGTTCTAAAAATTGCTGAATAGTTTTGCCACTATATGTTCAAATAAATTACAACATACCGAAGTGAGTGAGACAGGCCTATAATATCAGTGTTGCAGCTCATAATTATATTACATCTGCGTGTGCACCAACCGCACTGTTTGGCCGAGAAAAATTACATGTCTCTGCCAATTAACAACAGCGACTAATGACATCTAAAGATGTTTCAGGCACAAACCTCATCTGATCAGCCATATAGCGTCAAAGGTTACTAAAATATCACCTAAAAACAGAATGCCGAGGTACATAAAAGCATGTACCGATGATTTGCCCTTGTTCTTTTGTTTGTGGTTGCTGTTGTGTAGCAACGTATCTGCTACGAGTATGAATGGTGGACTCGCTTGTAAGATTAACTAACGAATATGAAACGTGCATATTTGGGCAAATTGGCAGGACTGAATATTAACAACAGGGGAACAGACAAAAGGCTGATGCTGTTCTCCCATTCAGTTAATGAATACAAAATCCATTCTCGCATGAATTCACACGGTATAGGCGTGTTATGAAATCAACAACTTTGTGGCTGCATGGATGACATCCCTAGGGGACTCACATGCATTTTGTAATGTGTGTGTAAGTGGATTTTGTGTGTAAGTGTGTAAGTGTAAGTGGATGCAGTGGCGTAAATTGAATAAAATCACCAGGAGGGACACACACATGGTCATGACGGCCATATTGTTTTTCTTGCCATTTATGTAAAAATTACCACGTGTCATACACAAACATGGGTTTTTAACTCGCGTATTTTCATTGTGCTATTGGGTCTTCTCTGAAACCGATCAAGTGGTACTAGTAACTTCAGTAATCCCACCCAGCTAAATTAAGGCTTTTGAACACCGGTACATGCTATAAGAAAAAGAGGCATTGAAAAATCTGAATGCGCTAGACCTAACTGTCAAGCCATTCAGTTACATTTCACGTAAGTAACTTGCAAATGTTGTCACCTTACCCCAGGCTAAGCACAGGGAGGGGGGGGGGTAGAACTTTCCTGACTTACTTATGATTCACGCCACTGCTGAAATACCGCTAATCTAGTCGCAGACCCCCGCTGTAGTGGCGGAGGCAGAGATTTTTTATGGATTTAAGCGAAAGAGGTTTAGGCGAAAATTGCTCGAGTGGAATCTTTCACAGCTTCTCGGAAGCAGTGTCAAACCGGCATTTACCTAAAGGTTTTCTTAAAAACACAGCTTTTAAAAGTGATCCCTGATTAGAGATATGGCTCTCCTCTTCTGCTAATGTAGTTGCTAGCCTATTCGGTGAAAGTGCTTTATCAGTATCGCTTCCGCCGAAAGCGTTTTATCAGAACGGGTATTAGTAACACGACCTCGAATAAATTTGCCAAGGCTTTCGATATCTTCAGGGGACCAAGGAAAGAAGATTATATTTAAAGGGACACTAAGGTCAAATAACAATTCATGTCAGAGTGAAAGCTCAATATATGACAACCTCTAAAACGACAACATTATTACCAAACAGTTCTCTACTTACAGTGCAATCAAGGTAAATGCACAAAAACACATGTACCACAGTGGGACATTCTCAAAATTATTCTGATGATAGCAGACCAGCGTTTGCTTACGGATTGTAGCTGTGATGGCGAGTGTGGAACACTTTTTTCTGCCTGTTTAGCGTCACGTAGCACGTGAATTTATTACAAACTTTCTTTTTTTCATGGTCACTTTAATGTTTTATCATGCCTTTTAAAATATGGCGGAGACCTGTCTTCACTTTCTTGATGTAATTTCCACTCCAACGAACTCTTTCTGAACTTCCTTGATTTTTACTGAATATCGTTACTCATTACCGTCAGACCCGGTGTGCGTCTTCTGAAGCTGCTGAGTAATCAGGAACGCAACGTCCTTTATTGTTTGTTGCTTCTAATTGCGTCTGTCTTCACAGTCAAATGCAACACGATTATGGTGCCATCGTAAATATAACGATCGTTATGATACCACTGTATTTATGTTGTAGAAGTACAACAACAAACGATGGTTATTACCTAGAGGACATCCGGTTAGCAGTCTTCGTGTTGTTTTTCAGTATGCATTAAGAGTGGTGCCTTACCCTGGCTACAACTACAGCAGGCCACATACTAAATGATTTGCACTGAAGATAGAGCTCAGAAGTAGCGTATTAACTGCCTATTATGATTGTATCTGTTCAGCCAACAGACGCACCCTTAATAAAGTTTTCACTCTATCGAAGAATTATTCAAGTTAACAGCGTATAATAGCGATCAAGGCAATATATAAGCGGAATTGGTTGTTTCATTCCATAGTTCCACATAAAACAGTGTCACCACTCAGATCATTGCTATCGATTTTTTAGGTGAACATCTGCGTTTAATGAGAAATAATTAGAGTTCGGCAACTAATATACCACGTAACTCACTTGGACATGCAATGCATGTCGTTAGCATTTACGGAGATATTTCCGACAGTAGTGACCGCGACAGCTCCACGTATAGATGCGCCATGGTGGGGTACTCAGTTATACCAATTGTTTTATTTATTTTTTCTAAAGTGAGCGCCTTTCATTTGGGCGAGACAAATAAACTTATTACCAACCCTGAAAATGCACAAAGGAGTCGAAGAAACTTCTTGTTTTCGAAAACCACATACACAGTTTATAAACGTGTTCTTTATTATATCACTGCTCACTGTGATCATACTGCGCGTTGATTAAGGTTCATTCTGTAACACTATCGGTCTTTGATCAAACAGCCTATCTTTGCAGGTTATTCCACCTGAAGTTGAGACCAGACACGGCCGTATTTGACAAGGACCTCGTCGTTGAAACTGCGACGTTCGGCAAGGTGAAGCCAGACATCGGTCACATCTACAGCGGCGAAGTCGTCGGTAAAATATTCCGTCTGTTTACATTACTGAAAATTGATGTGGCTGACGTATCTTTAACAGCTTCTAAAAAAAGTCACCTTCTTCCATTCGAGTATTCCTAACATGCCACGTATGTGTCTCTCTGTAGAGATAATAGGCGTAAACTTAAGGGTTTTTTTTAGGCAAAACATTATTGAGAATTAGAGGACAGTCGTGCATGCTAACGAAAGTGTTGGGGCTATTATTAAATGTAATTTTAGTGTGAATCTGAAGCAAGAAACACGGACAAAAAGATAACTTGCCGCCAGCAAGGACCGAATCTGCGACCTCCGAATAAAACCTCCAAAGCTCTCATCCCTCCGTTCACCGAAGTACGTCTAAACGTGGGAGCGTCAGTCAGCCACTGCCTTCAGTATATGGATTACGGCGAGTATGAGACACTTTTTTTTGCCTATTGCCGACACGTAGCATGTTATCTTATTACGAGCTGGCCGCTGACCAATAATCCCTCGCATGCTACCTGAAGGCAGTGGCAAAGCCAAGGGGGAGAGACCCACATCAGGTCCTTGCAGCATTCATTGCGAAATTCGCTTTCACTGTGGCCTATATAGCTGAAATGATCACTTCAAGGAACCCCGCCCCCCACAAAAAAAAATGAGGGAAAGTGCCCACTCCCCGATAAAAAGTCATGACTGTGCCCCTGCCTGAAAGTGGCAAGCCTGCCTAAACAGGACCTTGACTGTGTATGAAGGAGAGAGTGTCAATTTAACGGCTCGTATTTTTTATACACAATGATAATGAGAACTAACAGGCAACGCAGCAAAGAAAGTACGAGGATGTTATTAGTACTAACTCTAATGTTAATTCTTAAAGAGGGCCATCCACTCTATTTTGCAGTAATTATATCTACTGCTTATGGTCGTGGGAGCTACAACGGATAGTAAGATTATGAACCACCACACTGAAGGGAACCCTGATGGGATATAAAGCAGCAGATGTGCGCACGGCGTTGACATGGCTAAAACGGGCGTCGACGGGGGTGCTGGAAGAACAGTTTGAAGCGAAACTCGGTGTAGCGTTTACTTGAGTAAACGTTTCATGACGATAGTCTTTCTTGGCGACCATCGACAAAACAATTTTGGTCTGCCTGTCTGTCCTTTTGTCTGTTTGTCCACGTTAACCGTACCGCACTTTAAACGGAACAAGCGCACACCCCAAACGGACGACCCCATCTAGAGCGCCCACCAATGTTGCTCAAGATTCAGCTTTTATACTTGTGCAATTGTCAATTAAAGAGCAAGTATTGAGCATGTCTGTGGCACCATAACAACACGTATATATTCTGTATGTGTCTCTTACTAGAAAAGGCAGACATATGTATTCTAAGGATTCTAATTATTCTAAGGCGTTTATCACGTGGTGCTGACCATGCAACGCTTACACAAAAAGGGAAGTGTTTCCAACGCTTTGCTAAGACGACATGGTGTGGCACCTACCGTCACCTTGCGTTCTACACCTTATCACCTCTGAGACGGGCGCGCACGCCCGTCTCAAAGCCGTGCGTTTCGTTTTGCAAAGTAACTGCCAGATAGCGCTCATGTCTCACGTGCGACTTAACTTGATGCACTCGTTCGCCCCCGCTTCATGCTTGAGGCACTAAAACAAAGCGCTTCCAGAATACCAGTCACCGATTTCTAGCGCAGAAGATCAAATGAACGTTTTGTTCCATCTTCCAGACGCAAGACTATCGTCTTTCGACGACATTTGCAGATGGCATTTGCAGAAATGGGGCCATTTTTTTACGACTCAAAACCACAAAATCAGTGAAAGGCTCGGTAGTTGCAGGTCTGAGTAAATTTTGAACATATTCGGCTCTCTACTCATTCGCCCCCATCGATATTCGTCCCCCATGGCCTGAATCAAGCCCGTGACCTTCTGGTCAGCAGCCGAGCAACTTAACATCACGGTGGCGGACAACCCTCAACAAAGTCAACGTGCCTATTTTATGATATTAGTATACGTGGCACGTCAGGAATACCTGAAAGGACTCACTTTACACGCTTTTTTTTCTTTGAAGTAAATGTGAGGCAATTATAGCATCAACACAAGAGACACAATGAAAAAAAAACTACAACGTAAGGGCTACGGGTCGTTCATTTTTTGCTTCGTTTTGTGTGTTAGCGTCTAGTTTTAGCGACACTACTTCATACCAGGTATCATGTTTGTTATGTTTACGTCAAATAAAATGCTTTACGGGACCTCAATATGTAGTTACGATATGGTCTATTTCATTCGAGCGTGAATGCCAGTATATTCCTTCATTTTAATGTACACATGTCCAATGTACAATGTTTCTTGCGTAAAAATATATATGAGTGTGTGTGTAAAGAGTTTCTTGTGCAATGTCTTGTGAATCCAGTACTGCCATTTAAGGGAACCTGCGTCTTCGACAGACTTTTTCTATGGGCGCCTTTCCTTATTTATTTATTTATTTATTTATTTATTTATTTATTTATTATTTTTTATTTATTTATTCATTTATTATTTATATTGCTTTCATCTCTTGTATGCTGATTCGCACACTACAGAGTTTCTCCAATTTAACTTTCACGTTTTGTGAAGCGTCTGAGACTTTCGCCTTAAAAACCCGCTCACCTCGTATGCACAATAGTGCACACTAATACAATCCTGATGGCTACAAGCAGGAGCCGGCAGCTGCGGGCGCTGCAGCGAGCGTGCAGCGGGTGAGGAAGAGAGTGACGTCAGCGCGTACATTCGAGGAAAGCGTACGAGGGCAGCGTGACGTTAACGTGCAACTGCGGTGGACCTACTTGGCACCGCTCCAACACCTGCGGCAAGGGGAACGCGTTGCGGCACGTTCGTACGGATGCACGTACGTACGGCGTTACACACGTGAGTGAAACAGCGGCATGGCATCTAATAATACCTGCTGTTTAAAGACGGTAGTCTTTCTTGGCGACCTTCGACGCAAAAATTTTGGTCTGCCTGTCTGTGCTTTTGTCTGTTTGTCCACGTTTAACGGTCGTCATCATCATCATCATCAGCCTGACTACGTCCACTGCAGGACAAAGGCCTCTCCATGTTCCGCCAGTTAACCCGGTCCTGTGCTTGCTGCTGCCAATTTATACCCGTAAAATTCTTAATCTCATCTGCCCACCTAACCTTCTGTCTCCCCCTAACCCGCTTCCCTTCTCTGGGAATCCAGTCAGTTACCTTAATGACCAGCGGTTATCCTGTCTAAGCGCTACATGCCCTGCCCATGTCCATTTCTTCATCTTGATTTCAGCTATGATATCCTTAACCCCCGTTTGTTCCCTAATCCACTCTGCTCTCTTCTTGTCTCTTAAGGTTACACCTACCATTTTTTTTCCATTGCTCGCTGCGTCGTCCTCAATTTAAGCTCAACCCTCTTTATAAGTCTCCAGTGTTCTGTTCCGTAGCTAAGTACCGGCAAGATACAGCTGTTATATACCTTCCTCTTGAGGGATAGTGGCAATCTACCTGTCATAATTTGAGAGTGCTTGCCGGATGTGCTCCACCCCATTCTTATTCTTCTAGTTACTTCAATCTCGTGGTTCGGCTCTGCGGTTATTACCTGCCCTAAGTAGACATAGTCTTTTACAACTTCAAGTGCACTATTACCTATCTCGAAGCGCTGCTCCTTGCCGAGGTTGTCGTACATTACTTTCGTTTTCTGCAGATTAATTTTAAGACCCACCTTTCTGCTTTCCTTGTCTAACTCCGTAATCATGAGTTGCAATTCGTCCCCCGAGTTACTCAGCAATGCAATGTCATCGGCGAAGCGCAGGTTACTAAGGTATTCTCCATGACTCTTATCCCTAACTGCTCCCATTCTAGGCTTCTGAAAACCTCGTGTAAGCACGCGGTAAATAGCATTGGGGAAATTGTGTCCCCTGCCTTACACCCTTCTTGATTGGTATTCTGTTGCTTTCTTTATGAAGCACTATGGTAGCAGTTGATCCCCTGTAGATTTCTTCCAGAATGTTATATATACTTCATCTACGCCTGATTCCGCAGTTTTGCATGACGGCTGATATTTCTACTGAATCAAACGCCTTCTCGTAATCTATGAAGGCTATGTATAGTGGTTGGTTATACTCTGAGCATTTCTCTATACCTGATTGATAGTATGAATGTGGTCAATTGTTGAGTAGCCTGTTCGAAATCCTGCTTGTTCCTTTGGTTGATTGAATTCTAATGTTTTCTTTACTCTGTTAGCAATTACCTTTGTAAATAGCTTGTATACTACAGAGAGCAAGCTAATCGGCCTGTAATTCTTCAAGTCCTTGTCATCTCCTTTCTTATGTATTAAGATGATGTTAGCGTTCTTCCAAGACTCTGGTACCCTTCCCGTCAGGAGACACCTCGAAACAGGGTGGCTAGTTCTTCTAACACAATCTGTCCTCCATCTTTCAGCAAATCTGATGTTACCTGATCCTCACCAGCAGCTTTGCCCCTTTGCATGCTCTCCAAAGCTTTTCTGACTTCTTCTATCATTACTGGTGGGGTGTAATCTGGGTTACTGCTAGTTCTTATAGTAAGCTTCTAAACGTGGGAGCGTCAGTCAGCCACTGCCTTCAGTATAGGGATTACGGCGAGTATGAAACACTTTTTTTTGCCTGTTGGCGACACGTAGCATGTGATCTTATTACGAGCTGGCTGCTGACCAATAATCCCTTGCATGCTACCTGAAGGCAGTGGCAAAGCCAAGGGGGAGAGACCCACACCAGGTCCGTGCAACATTTACTGCGAAATTCGCTTTCACTGTAGACATAAAAAAATGAGGGAGGGTGCCCAATCCCCGATAAAAAGTTATGCCTGTGCCCCTGCCTGAAGGTGGCAAGCCTGCCTGAACAGGACCTTGACTCTGTATGAAAGAAAAAGTGTAAATTTAACAGCTCGTATTTTTTATACACAATGACAATGAGAACTAACAGACAACGTAACAAGGAAAACATCAAGGATGTCAATAGTACTGATTGTAATGTTAATTTTTAAAGAGGGCCATCCACTCTATTTTGCAGTAATTATACCTACTGCTAATGGTCGTGGGAGCTACAACGGATAGTAAGATTATGAACCATCACACTGAAGGGAACCCTGATGGAATATAAAGCAGCAGATGTGCGCACGGCGTTGACATGATTGAAACGGGCGTCGACGCAGGTGCTTGAAGAACAGTTGGAAGCGAAACTCGGTGTAGCGTTTACTCGAGTAAACGTTTCATTGAAACGGAAAGACACCGGAAGTGATTTAGGTTTTGTGTAAGTTTCATCGCAGATAAACGAGCCGAAAGAGTGTTTCCACTCGACGTGCTGGCCAGCGTTGCGGGTGGTGGAGAGGGGGAAGCGAGTGGTAAGTGTGTAGCGAGAACGAGGAGTGAGTGATTCTTGAGGAAAGATGAAAAGTAACCTAATTTCTGTCTGCCTCGTGGGCGACACGGCGCAGTGCTTTGTAGGGGTGGGATAGCGGGATAAACAGACCAGTAGAAAAACAAAGCTTTGAAAGACAGAACACTCTATGCATACGAGCGAAGAAAGAGGAGTGAAGAGATAAGAGAGATGGGGACATGGTCGAAGGAGTCTGAGGACGCGGCGCCACTCGGCGAAAGATACATGGCGCTGGGAGATTGTAGACGGCGGGCCGTTCAACGAGAGCTACGCTGGCGCCGGAGATCGCAGGCGGCACAACCGTTCAGCACGGACTCTAGCGAGCAAGTCCACAAGGAGGAGCTGGCAGCTGCAGGCGCTGCGGCGAGCGTGCAGCGGGTGAGGAAGAGAGTGACGTCAGCGCGTACATTCGAGGAAAGCGTACGAGGGCAGCGTGACGTTAACGTGCAACTGCGGTGTGACCTACTTGGCACCGCTCCAACACCAGCAGCAAGCGGAACGCGTTGCGGCACGTTCGTACGGATGCACGTACGTACGGCGTTACACACGTGAGTGAAACAGCGGCATGGCATCTAATAATACCTGCTGTTTAAAGACGATAGTCTTTCTTGGCGACCATCGACAAAACAATTTTGGTCTGCCTGTCTGTCCTTTTGTCTGTTTGTCCACGTTTAACCGTACCGCACTTTAAACGGAACAAGCGCACACCCCAAACGGACGACCCCATCTAGAGCGCCCACCAATGTTGCTCAAGATTCAGCTTTTATACTTGTGCAATTGTCAATTAAAGAGCAAGTATTGAGCATGTCTGTGGCACCATAACAACACGTATATATTCTGTATGTGCGTCTCTTACTAGAAAAGGCAGACATATGTTATTCTAAGGATTCTAATTATTCTAAGGCGTTTATCACGTGGTGCTGACCATGCAACGCTTACACAAAAAGGGAAGTGTTTCCAACGCTTTGCTAAGACGACATGGTGGTGGCACCTACCCGTCACCTTGCGTTCTACACCTTATCACCTCTGAGACGGGCGCGCACGCCCGTCTCAAAGCCGTGCGTTTCGTTTTGCAAAGTAACTGCCAGATAGCGCTCATGTCTCACGTGCGACTTAACTTGATGCACTCGTTCGCCCCCGCTTCATGCTTGAGGCACTAAAACAAAGCGCTTCCAGAATACCAGTCACCGATTTTCTAGCGCAGAAGATCAAATGAACGTTTTGTTCCATCTCTCCAGACGCAAGACTATCGTCTTTCGACGACATTTGCAGATGGCATTTGCAGAAATGGGGCCATTTTTTTACGACTCAAAACCACAAAATCAGTGAAAGGCTCGGTAGTTGCAGGTCTGAGTAAATTTTGAACATATTCGGCTCTCTACTCATTCGCCCCCATCGATATTCGTCCCCCATGGCCTGAATCAAGCCCGTGACCTTCTGGTCAGCAGCCGAGCAACTTAACATCACGGTGGCGGACAACCCTCAACAAAGTCAACGGCTCATATTTTTATATACAATGATAATGAGAACTAACAGGCAACGCAGCAAAGAAAGTACGAGGATGTTATTAGAACTAATTTTAATGTTAATTTTTAAAGAGGGTCATCCACTCTATTTTGCAGTAATTATGCCTACTGCTAATGGTCGTGGGAGCTACAACGGATAGTAAGATTATGAACCACCACACTCAAGGGAACCCTGATGGGTTACAAAGCAGCAGATGTGCGCACGGCGTTGACATGGCTAAAACGGGCGTCGACGGGGGTGCTGAAAGAACAGTTTGAAGCGAAACTCGGTGTAGCGTTTACTTGAGTAAACGTTTCATTGAAACGGAAACACACTGGAAGCGATTTAGGTTTCGTGTAAGTTTCATCGCAGATAAACGAGCCGCAAGAGTGTTTCCACTCGACGTGCTGGCGAGCGTTGCGGGTGGTGGATAGGGGGCAGCGAGTGGTAAGTGTGTTGCGTGCATCAGGAGTGAGTGAGTGATTCTGTAAGGAAGATGAAAAGTAACCTAATTTCTGTCTGCCTCGTGGGCGGCACTGCGCAGTGCTTTGTAGGGAGTGGGATAGGGGGATAAAAAGACCAGTAGAAAAACAAAGCTTTGAAAGATAGAACACTCTATGCATACGAGCGAAGAAAGAGGAGTGAAGAGATAAGAGAGATGGGGACAAGGTCGAAGGAGTCTGAGGACGCGGCGCCACTCGGCGAAAGATACATGGTGAAATACAGATACTCGGCGAAATACAAAACGCCCGTCTCAAAGCCGTGCGTTTCGTTTTGCAAGGTAACTGCCAGATAGCGCTCATGTCTCACGTGCGACGTGACTTGATGCACTCGCTCGCCCCCGCTTCACGCTCCAGGCACTCTAACAAAGCGCTTCCAGAATATCAGTCACCGATTTTCTTGCGCAGAACATCAAATAAACGTTTTGTTCCATCTCTCCAGACGCAAGACTATCGTCTTTCGACGACATTTGTAGATGACACTTGCAGAAACGGGGCCAATGTTTTACGACCCAAAACCACAATTTCAGTAAAAGGCTCTGTAGTTGCAGGTTTGAGTAAATTTTGAATATATCCGGCTCTCTACCCATTCGCCCCCATCGAGATTCGTCCACCACGGCCTGAATCAAGCCCGTGACCTTCGGGTCAGCAGCCGAGCAACTTAACAACACGGTGGCGGACAACGTTCAACAAAGTCAACGTGCCTATTTTATGATATTCGTATGCGTGGCACGTCAGGAATACCCGAAAGGACTCACTTTACACGCTAGTTTTAGTGACAGTTTTAGTGACACTACTTCATACCAGGTATCATGTTTGTAATGTTTACGTCAAATAATATACTTTACGGGACCTCAATATATAGTTACGGTATGGTCTCTTTCATTCGAGCATGAATGCCAGTATGTTCCTGCATTTTATTGTACACATGTCCGATGTACAATGTTTTTTTGCGTAAAAATCTACATAAGCGTTGTGTGTAAAGAGCTTCTTGTGGAATGTCTTGTGAATCCAGTACTGCCATCTAAGATTGATTGAATTGTGGGGTTTAACGTCCCAAAACCACCATATTATTAAGAGAGACGCCGTAGTGGAGGGCTTCTACTGCCATCTAAGAGAACCTGCGTCCTCGACAGACTTTTTCCTATGTGCGGCTTTTCTTATTATTTACCTATTTATTTATTAATTAATTAATTAATTTATTTATTTATTTGCGTTCCTCTCTTGTATGCTGATTCACACCACTACAGAGTTTCTTCAATTAAACTTTCGCGTTTTGTGAAGCGTCTCAGACTTTCGCCTTAAAAATCCCGCTCACCTCGTATGAACGATAGTGCACACCAATACAAATCATGATGGCTACGAGCAAAGTTCGGTCGCTTATTTCATCTTGCAGGCGATCCCTCCAGTCGGGTGTATGGTGGCCTCCACAAAGGTGTCTTCGAAGGCTCCATTCAGTCCCGCTGGGGTCGCTTCTACGTCGAAGGGGCACGCAAGTTCTTCGCTCGCCGGATGCCTTTTCATTCGGTGATGTACGCCGCCGAAGACGCCGGCATCCCCCAGCAAGGGTGGTGCGGCGTCAACGGCGAGACCACGCGATGGATGCAGCGGCTGGCCTTTGCCTCAGAACGGACACGGAACACCGAGTTTAAGGTTTGGATTACTGATATGTATTTTAGGGGCGAAGCATCTACGGTTAGTAAAACGTCCGACCGTTGTCGTCGAGGCTGACGTCACCATTCTTCCTACTCGAAGCGCAGGGGAGAAATGTTAATGAACCTCGAAGACATACCGTGGCGCCACTTACGTGATGACGTCACTCATAAAATGCCGGGCTGTGCTGTCTGCTAGAACACCGCATTTTCTGAGCTTTTGCTGCGGACACCGTGCGTGTTTACCTTTGTTTTAAAGCTCATTGCTTGAAGAAGTGGTAAGACCTGATAATACGGGCAACCAAACTACCAATCAGTGCCCTCAGTGGCCCTCTCGTGTCTAATTTTCAGCGTAAAATTGCGATTCAATACGGGTGAAGTCATGGGGGACGATGCAAGTAAGGCGAGCGCACGCATCCTATCTGTGACGTCAAAACGATCGCAGTGCTGGCCTCTCTATTGGAGGCCTTCGCGGCCAATACTGTCCACTGAGCCATGGCCGGGCTAGAGGAGCAGCTCTCTTATCCGGCCGTCACTGAGCGTACATAGCGCGCTCAGTCAAAAAAAGTAAAAGACCAAACTCAACGAATGTTCACAACAAAATTGAAGGCTTTCTGCCTGAACCAAACAGAAGGCGACAACGCATTAAAAGCGGAAAAGTTGCAACGCCAACAAAATTTGAACAAAACTGAACATCTCTGAATGACCAAAGGTCAAGAAAAGGTGGTAACCCATTAATCAAATCATATCACCGAACAAAAGATTAACGAGAACAAAATAACAGACCACAATATGGTAAAAACACCCTCATTTAACCACCACTCATCCATCAAAGCATGTAACAGAAGAAAATGTTAACGATGAAAAAAGTCACACATCACCTTCCCCTACAGGAAATCATGATGGGATGCGAAAGCACCATAGGGGGGGGGGGGGGGGGTGCGTGCACATCGAGTCTCCGTTTTTCTAAGGCGACTTACGTGACGGTGGTTGTCAAAGCGTTTGAATTACTGCTTGTCGACGCTTACGTTTACGTTCAGCTTTCCGATCCTTCCCTTGCTCTGTGGCAGTGAGGCTGCAACTATAGCGCCGACTTTTGTAAGCGCAGTATGATTGCGGACGCCGCTTAACGGAAACTGCCACGAGAAGGCCACAACACCGTAAAAACACCGACCAAGCGTATTTCAGAACAAAATAAAAGGCTGTTAATCAGAACAAAATAGAAGGCCGTGATTCACGGTCTGATGTCCAGTGCTTCGTTTCAATATCAGCATTCATTTTGTAGATCTACAGCAATTCTTAAACAGCGTAGCTATTTAACCATGATGTCAGGGTAGCTGTCGTTTGGAGAAAAGAATTTGGTCTAGGAATAACAGCAACAAGGAAACAGTTGGAAGTGTATAGTGGACTAGTACTTAACTGGGACGGAGAATTGCGCAAAAAAACAAAAGAAATAAACTTTGTCTCCACATTCAGGCTGCAGGAAACTGTATACACAAGCTAAACGCTGTTGCGGATCTTCAATATTTCTCTGCGGTAGGCTGCGATAGGGACAGCATACCGCTCTTCCGCAGTAGAATATTCAGAGTCTCGACTTTGCCAAACAAAACCATGAAAGTGGTTCCGAGTGCGGTGCCAGTGCCACATGCTTCCCTTGTACGCCGATTCAAGTGTGTATGCCGGTGTATACTTTGTGGAGACGGAACTCGTCCGCATGAACTCCTGCACGAATTAAGCATATTATGCACGTGCTTCCCGTCGCTTAAAAAGTGATAGCTGCGGGGCATAGTGAGCGTTGCATACAGTTTGCGTTGTCTGTCCTGATAGTCCTTTGTGGGTGAAGTAAGTAGAAAGTTTCTGAGACGAACATAAGGAAAAGCGAATACGTGACCAATGCACAAATGGAGTAAACGGAGTTTGAGGTGCCCGTGATAGTGACACGGCCTTCTCACACGGAAAAAACGCGCAGTGGCAATGTGTCAAGAAAGAAACAAAATTTGCTAGCCACGTCTTGTTTTAGAGATCTTCGTGTAGAAAATCAATCAATGTCCATGATGATACGGGGCGCGAAAAAACGACACACAACAGAGAAGAAGTACACATACGACGCGCTTATGTGTACTACTTCGACACACAACAGAGAAGAAGTACACATACGACGTAGCGCGTATCCCCCGTAAGAAACATGGGGACAATTTTTTTTTCGATAGCGATTGCGCCTATGCAATGTGGTTATGAAGCTTTTGCTTTGTTACCCGGAAAAGTTGCCTGCACTTACGTTCGTCCGCACCTTGTCCCCACCTAACGTTTGCTTGCCTGTTTTCATATACAATGCTACGCATTTTTCTCGTGATTTCCCATAAACTGCTTGTAAATTTCTTTGGTCGCTTCTTTAAAAAATGTGTTTTATCATTTTTATTTTAAAACAAACATTTATACTGGAACTCTTCTAACACATAGACCACGCCAGAGAGATTTTGAAGCTTTCTATGCCCTAAATTTAACCGACAGCCACACGTCCACTCAGTAAAACAACGGAGGTTTTTCGGAGTGGCGTTTAAGTATTCAAGAATGTGGAGGTAGGTATGCAACTTCTCCATACTACGGGTAGAATCACCGGTTCCAGAATGAGAATGTTTTCCTGCGCAAGGGTACTAACAAGGTCTATTTAAATAGGTCACGAAAGCTCGGGCGAAAAGCGGTTTAGAAGCAATGGCCAGCAACATCAGCTTGGTCTTGTAAATAAAGTAGGGGTGGCGTGCACGAGCGCGACCCTGGGCCGCTGGCTCGTTCACTTGTTTCTCTGATCGTCGATGTAGCCAGACTATCTGATCCGAGTCTCCATCTTCGTTTCCGGCACATCGTTCTGGTGCCGAAACCCGGGAAGAGATGCGGAAGAGGCTTCACAAAGTGAAGCTATGTTTTCGCTGCGGCAAAAGCAACCATTTCGCCAATGATTCCCGCACCGCCAGAACCCTGCAACTCCGCCGATGCACGGGACAATACCTGACATCTCTGTACGAGATTAACAATGGCGTGCCAACAACACGTCGGTGCGACAAGATTCCGCACCAGCGTCCACAACCGCTCCTCCTCGGGTGACGTCCGTCTCAACTAACGGCGCTACTTTGACGCTATATATACTGCTGCAGACTTGCAAAGCATGGGCTATTGCGCCGGCGAAAACAGTTCAGGTTCAGCTCCTGCTCAACACAAAAAGCCAGCGTTCGTTCATTCGGCAGGACATTGCTCGAAATTTGAAATTTCCTGTTCGGGGCACTGAGCGCCTCACCTTGTTTACCTTCGGGCAAATGAAATGGCCCACGACTTTCACTTGTGAACGCGTTGCGTTGACGTTGCGGAGCAACCACGGCAGCAACGAGAACACAATAGAAGCTCTGGCATTACCAGAAATCAGCCCGTTGACAAGTCCGCCAGCTGACGGTGAAATCGTAACCATGATGACACGGAAAGAGATACTCCCCGCCGGTGCACGTCCAGACACGATGACGTCCCGCGAGGACGACGTAAGTGTACTAGTAGGATTAGACCTCTCCTGGCACGTTGCAACTGGATTTATAACAGGCCTGACCCCTCAGATAACGGCGTTGGAATCTCTTCTCGTATGGACCACTCAGGGTTATCTACAGAACCATACACAAGGATCGGGCACGCGTGTAACCTCCCGCTTTATTGCTATCAAAGATGCCTCTGAGCGTGATGTCGCCTTGGAGGCGGGAATCACCAACTTCTGGCTACTCGACTCTCTCGGCAATCAGGATGACCCTGACGGCAGCCAAGGCAACAGCGTGGCCCGCGAACTATTCGAAAGGAAACTTTTTAAAATAGGAGAATGCTACACAGTTCCTCTCCTTATTCATGAGACCAGATTAGACAATGCGCAGAACAACCACATTCTTGCCAAAAGCGGTTCCTGACGCAGCTACGCCACTTTTGACAGCAACCAGATCTTTTGGCTTGTTATGACGACACCATCAAGCCATACTTTAACGACTACCATGCGTAACGAGTCCCGGACGAAGATCTCACACCCAAGCCCAACACGTACTACATGTCTAATCGTGGGGTAATTCGTTGAGATGACGTCACCATCAAGCTGTGGGTCGTCTTCGACGCGTCATCTCACGTTCCCGATCAACCATCCCTGAACAACGTGCTCATGAAGGGGCCTAAGATGACGCCGACTTACTTAAGCTGCTCCTCAGCTTCAATATGCATCCAATCACCATTGCGGCTGACATCAAGAAGACCTGCCTTCAGATTAGCATTCGCCTATACGAAAGGGATGCACTGCGCTTCCTATGGGTCAATCATCATCCGACCGAACATGACCCGTTCCCACCAATCGTCCACAGGCAAACGAACCGCATGCCCTTCATCGCCAAATCCAGTCCTTTTCTGCTCGCAGCGACCTTGCATCACCATTTCCGACGCTCCGAAAAGCGATTCCCCGAAACAGTGGAGTGTCTCAGACAGTCGTTCTACGTCGAGAATTTAGAGGTTGGGGTGGACAACCTGCAGATGGCCCAACAAATTTACTCAGAAGAAAAGACCATCCCAGCAGACGCCGGTATGAAGATTCGTAAGTGGGCATGAAACACCTCCTGCTAAGAGAACATTTCCGAACAGTTCCGAACCAGCTTTCCTAATGTACATCTTTGTCTGTGAGCTCGTCGACAGAGCTCGACGTTTAGAATCGTGTTCAGAAAAAAAATTGATGATTTAGAGCGTGGTGAACTCTATGATGGGAGACTTGCGCTTCAGATATGTGTTCATAAAACGTTTTTAGTGATTTAGAGTACGATCTACTCTACTGTGAGAGAGCATAAAGCCGTCTTGTGGACCTCGTGATGCTTGATGCGACCTTAGGTGCTTCAGGGCGATGTGTTTATAAAAAGTGTGCAACGATTTAGAATACTCGGTGCTCTACAACAAGGAGAGCATAAAGCCGTAATAACCGAACAAAAGAAGAAACTTTTTCTACAAAACAGCAGTGTTGCGAAGGTGCCCTGGAACGTACACATGTATGCCCTCAATGGTGAACTGGTCACATGCGTATTTGTATGCGCGGTTTTTTAACAAAACTGGCCCTCTCTTGACCGTAAGTTTGCTGGTGATGAGCCGTTTCTTATATGAAAATACGATCTACGTTGCCCCACTTTGTTGTCACAATTGACTGTTGTATTTCAGTGTCTCACGCATGAGCGTCATCGTTACACCCGTCAAGGAGGAAGAAAAAAAGTACGAGGAGCCATTGTGCAATGTGACAGGCAGAGAGGAAGAATTCGCTTGCCCCCCATTTTTCCTATCAGGAAAGGTTTTTATTTTTTCTATTTTTTGCTTATATTGAGTTTAAGGAATATTCGGCGTCTCTGGCACCTTGAGACCGTTTAGGACGTTAAACGCACTGAACGAATCTTTTGTTTTCATGTTATTATTGTACACCTCTTCTTGTGCGGTGGCAAGCTTCCCGATTGATTGATTGACTAGATTTGATTGATTGATTGATTGATTGATTGATTGATTGATTGATTGATTGATTGATTGATTGATTGATTGATTGATTGATTGATTGATTGATTGATTGATTGATTGAAACTCGCAGTCTTCGAAAGCGAAACGCCACAGCGGTGACCACCTAGAGCGCTGGATCGGCCGGCGCCCCCTAGAGCACCAAGAGCAGTCCGAGGGCTGTTACTCTGATGGCAATGTCTACGACGATGGTGACGTCGACGACATGCAAGCGGGGAAAGGCTACACGGACCGGAGGCGCCAGTCGAAAGCTGGCGGACGGCCACGGCGAACGTACCGCGTTTGCGGTCTCTACGTCCACATTGACCACCTGCTGTACCGCCAGTTCGCCAAGATCGACAACGACGCTGTGCGCACGCGCGAGCGCCTTTCGACCCTCATCGCCGGTCTCACGGCAAGAGCTTCTGACATCTTCCGGCACACGGACTTCAGCGGTGTCGAGGACGTCAGGTTCAGCGTGCACAAGATCAAGGCGAGTGAAAAGGACGATGCCTCAGAGAAAATAATTTTTTTGTCTCAAATTAGTCAAAAAGTTCTCCGCAGTACCACAACCATCACGCTTGACTCGCTTAGTAAGCGAGAGAACGCGCAAAAAGTAAATGCAGGTGATGATGCCCCATTCAAGTTCACGCACCAAATGTCCTGACGTCATAGATTTTGACAGCATTTACTAGGTCCTACGTAAAATTTAAGAGGTAAAGCTGAACGTATGCTGACCTTTTTGTGACTCATAGACAAAGCATACTAAGTTTCAGGAAGTTTTGTCGAACCAGTGTTCACAAAATACAAGAAATACTCTTTCAACTACACAACACCGCGTGCAGTGATATCGGCACGAAATTTCAATATATTTCAAACTTTATTGCCTTCTGTATTAATAAACCAGTGACGGTGAAAGTAGTGACTTTAGAGGTCTTGGAGTACAATTTTAGAAGCGGAATCGCTGTTTCAGTCAAGTTTCTCTTTCAAGCACGTTGCTTCAAAGCTGTGGTCAAACTGCCGTTATGCGCGAGTTTGCTCATTAGACTGCCACCAGAAGAGGCTGAGGAAGACATTTCAATAAAGACTAATTGTAAAAGCACTCGTGTGCTTACAAGGAAATCCAGGTGAGATCGGGGGTTATCAAAAAGCAGTTAGAATCCGTTCTCCTCGTTGATCCTGACTGCGTGGCTTCAGGTCTTTGAACTCCATTAACGAATGAAGTGACTTCGCCCCGCCGCCGTGGCCTATTGGCTAAGGTACTTGGCTGATGACCCGCCGGTCGTGGGATCGAGTTGCAACTGCGGCGACTGCAATTTCGGTGGCGGCGAAAATGCTGTTGGCGCGTGTGCTCAGATTTGGGTGCACGTTAAAGAACACCACGTGGTCGAAATTTCCGGAGCCTTCCACTACAGCGTCCCTCATAATCATATGGTGGTTTCGGGACGTTAAACCCCACATATCATCATTTGTGTGCCCGCTCGCTATTCTTCGCCTTTTCGGGAATACCAGCCTTTTCACTGGGCTATGCGAGACAGTCGCACCTAATGATTCTCGTGTAGAGTGCACGTTACTTTGCAAGTCCCGCGTACTCGAGTATGTTTCTTGTGCTTCCCGATGACTTACGCAGCATGATAACGGAAGAAGCTCAGCGGAGGACAAGGTATAATTCCCTCTTTATAATGTTAACGCATACGAACGCCGCGCTGCAGCGTGGGAGCGTCAGTATCTCCCGAGAAGTTGATGGTTTATTGTAGGTGAGATCTTAGAACGCGGTACAGGAAGCACTCGACGCTGTCAAGCCGCTACTCTCCTTAAGTGAATGACTTTTAAAGGAAAACAAGGAGGGGGGCGTTCTCTATGCCAACTTGCGAAGCATTCTCATCAAAACTACTTTGCAGAAAGGAGGAAGGCTTACAGGATAGAGCGCAGCTGTATGGTGCTTATTTCCACGGCGCCAATATTGAAAGAAATGGTGGTTTCCGTGCACACCGTCATGGCACTGTGACAAGAATATATAACACAATGTCGAACTCAAGATAAACAAGTGGTAGTCTACGCTTTGTCATGTCATCTTCTTCCTGGTCACGCACAAAGGCTAGATTGTTTCCACTTCCAGCAGGAACGCCCTCCAGCGAGACATGACCGTGCAAACTACTGACATTGTCAATATTTATCACAAAGCGCAGCAACTTATAAGCCTCAAAACGGGACGTTTTCGCGCAGATCAACGATACGACCAGTTGCCCCAGCAGAAAGAACCCATTCTGCCTGGACAAAATGGACCCATCCTTATTCCTGCTGACGGCGGCTAAGTCCGCCAACTACGACGAGTACTGCCTAGCATATACGTGGACATACCGCGACTTCGATTCGGGCGTTCTCGGTCTTGCCTACGTGGGAAATTCGACAAGTGAGTCATGGCTTCCATCGAAGTAAACGCTGCTTTGCGACGATAGTAGTGAGTTCCCTTTGTTTCTTTCGTTGTTGGAGTGCAACTGCAGCTTGAGAACGCAAATCCTAGGGTCTAAAAAAGCAATAATCTACCTCCCTGCATGAAAACTTGATGAGCGTCTCCTTCTCTGCATCAGTGCATGGATGGATTGTGGCAGGCCACAAGGGGGATGGGTGCGCGTGTCTGTTTTCTGCGTGCCATTAGAGGCCAATGTCCACTAACTTGGGCAAGCCAGTGCGAGCAACACAGCTCCCTCTGGTCAGTGAACGGCGCCTATTGAGTGAATGGCGTCACCAAGTGCGTGAGTGCCCGATGCTATGATAGACAAGATCGAAAGCGTGCCATGTCTCGCTGCGCAGCGCACTCTCTGGGCGTCTGCGACAAGAACAGACTGTTACCGGAGGATCCGACACAGCCCCAGCTGGGCCTGACGCGCCTAAGCCTGAACACCGGCATGATCACGTTTCTAAACTACAACGCCTATGTGGCCCAGGCGGTCAGCGAGATCACGTTCGCTCACGAGATAGGTCACAACTTCGGATCGCCCGTGAGTACATTCGCGTGACTCGATCGCTGAAGCCAAGAGGTCATGCCATGGCTGAGCTTCTGCGTGTCGCAATCGCTAACGTAATTTTCCAAGCTTTACTCAATATGTCCACCGCTAGGTAAAACCACCTGTATAGTAAGACTCGTGAATGACTTCACAATGATTCCTACAATAAAAAACTTTATTACCAGCAGTAATTCCTTAAGAAGCCTTATTCTTCAGTCTGCTCATTTCCTCTAAAAAATGTAAGCGATGCTGTCTTCATGTAGTTCTGAAATGTTCCACAAGCACCATACGAGGGTATGGTGCCATACGATGGTATGGAGGAATTGTCAAATTCGCTCGACAGCCATCACCGCAGACGGCTCAAAGACCCGTGTGCTCAGATTTTGGTGCACGTTAAAGAACCCCAGATGGTCGAAATTTCCAGAGCCCTCCACTACGGCATCTCTCATAATCTTATGGTGGCTTTGGGACGTTAAACCCCAAGTATCAAATCAATCATCCGTTCGATTTTTCTCTGAACACTGAGACAGAGACCGTGCTTTATGACCCTATAAAAACGTCGTGCTATAGCACTAGCGCATATTGTTTGTTATTTGTTTAAATATTTCATAGGCCAGAAGTGGTTTTGAGATCGAACTTACGTTGTAAACGCCCTGCATCAACAGGGAGGTGGCCAAGTCATCATCATCATCAACATCATTATCAGGCTGACTACGTCCACTGCAGGACAAAGGCCTCTCCCATGTTCCGCCAGTTAACCCGGTCCTCTGCTTGGTGCTGCCAATTTATACCCGCAAACTTCCTAATTTCGTCTGCCCACCTAGCCTTCTGTCTCCCCCTAACCCGCCTCCCTTCTCTGGGAATCCAGTTAGTTACCCTTAATGACCAGCGGTTATCCTGTCTACGCGCTACATGCCGGGCCCATGTCCATTTCCTCTTCTTTATTTCAACTATGATATCCTTAACCCCCGTTTGTCCCCTAATCCACTCTGCTCTCTTCTTGTCTCTTAAGGTTACACCTACCATTTTTCTTTCCATTGCTCGCTGCGTCGTCCTCAATTTAAGCTGAACCCTCTTTGTAGGTCTCCAGGTTTCTGCTCCGTAGCTAAGTACCGGCAAGATACAGTTGTTATATACCTTCCTCTTGAGGAATAGTGGCAATCTACCTGTCATAATTTGAGAGTGCTTGCCGAATGTACTCCACCCCATTCTTATTCTTCTAGTTACTTCAATCTCGTGGTTAGGCTCTGCGGTTATTACCTGCCCTAAGTAGACATAGTCTTTTACAACTTCAAGTGCACTATCACCTATCTCGAAGCGCTGCTCCTTTCCGAGGTTGTTGTACATTGCTTTCGTTTTCTGCAGATTAATTTTAAGACCCACCTTTCTGCTCTCCTTGTCTAACTCCGTAATTATGAGTTGCAATTCGTCCCCTGAGTTACTCAGCAATGCAATGTCATCGGCGAAGCGCAGGTTACTAAGGTATTCTCCATCAACTCTTATCCCTAACTGTTCCCATTCTAGGCTTCTGAAAACCTCCTGTAAGCACGCGGTAAATAGCATTGGGGAGATTGTGTCCCCCTGCCTTACACCCTTCTTGATTGGTATTCTGTTGCTTTCTTTATGAAACACTATGGTAGCAGTTGATCCCCTGTAGATTTCTTCCAGAATGTTTATATATACTTCATCTACGCCCTGATTCCGCAGTGTCTGCATGACGGCTGATATTTCTACTGAATCAAACGCCTTCTCGTAATCTATGAAGGCTATGTATAGTGGTTGGTTATACTCTGAGCATTTCTCTATTACCTGAGTGATAGTATGAATGTGGTCAATTGCTGAGTAGCCTGTTCGAAATCCTGCTTGTTCCTTTGGTTGATTGAATTCTAATGTTTTCTTTACTCTGTTAGCAATTACCTTTGTAAATAGCTTGTATACTACAGAGAGCAAGCTGATCGGCCTGTAATTCTTCAAGTCCTTGTCATCTCCTTTCTTATGTATTAAGATGATGTTAGCGTTCTTCTAAGACTGTGGTACCCTTCCCGTCAGAAGACACCTCGTAAACAGGGTGGCTAGTTTTTCTAACACAATCTGCCCTCCATCTTTCAGCAGATCTGATGTTACCTGATCCTCCCCAGCAGCTTTGCCTCTTTGCATGCTCTCCAAAGCTTTTCTGACTTCTTCTATCATTACTGGTGGGGTGTCATCTGGGTTACTGCTAGTTCTTATAGTATTAAGGCCGTGTATGTCTGCGTAAAACGCATAAACCACTTTACAAAAGTTTTTTTTTTCTTTTTCGACGCTGAGTGTCATTGCGTAAGAGAGGTGATCGGGTGTTCCTTCGCATTGTGCGCAGCACGACACGCCGGATGGAAGCCCTTGCGCTCCGGGAAATAAAAAGAACGGCAACTATATCATGTACTTCATGGCGAGTTCCGGCCTCGAGCCCAACAACCGCTTGTTTTCCACCTGCAGCAGGGGCAACATATCCGAAGTCATCAAGCCTATGGTCGAGGGCAAGTCGCCGCGCGAGAATTGCTTTCAAGGCAAGCTTGTGTCACTCAAACGTCTTCAAACGTCTCAAACAAGCTTCCTCCTAGGGGCCCATTTTAGGAGCAGTGATTTTTTCCTCCTATTATAGAAACTTACAATATATAACACAGAGCGCAGAACTCCTACACTGAGAAGTCACTCGGGTAGCGAGAAAACATGGGAAAAAAAAGCGCATGTGGCGACGCTGCACTGATTTTCCTGCACCAACTCAGCATGACGTCATAGTTTTACGGCGTCTGCTGTAGCGATTGCGTAATAGTTTGAGGCCTAATACGACCTCAATTCTCATCTCGGACACACAGTGTCTTACTTAATAAGTTTCAGAAAATTTTAATACATCAATGTGGACAGAATTCACAGAATGAGCCGTGCCTATAGATTGCTTTCGTGGCGCAAGGCTAAAGGCATAGTGGAGCTTATCGGTTCCTCGCTGATTCTTGCCATTCGGCACTGGTCCTGCCCTTTCGTGTTGATTTGAAAGAGACGCGTGAAGCTTGTGTTCTGGCCTGCCCAGTTTTGGTAGGCTGATGTCTGTCAAGTACCGGCAGAAAAGCCACATATACATGCGAAATGTAAATAATCGCATTGCGTTCTCATTGCGCTTTTTTTTTGTTCCGATGTAACGTACATAAGTATACATTTCTTTTCAGGACATATTTTTGTGGGCGTACATGTTCTGTTGAAATGTTATTGATGTCTACCATCTGTCATATAAATTTCTTAAAACACCATGATTATGCCAAGCTGTATGAAGTGGTTCTAAGTGATGATAAGTTATAGACTTTTAAAGACGATAGTCTTTCTTGGGGACCTTCGACGAAAAATGTCTGTCTGTCTGTCTGTCTGTCTGTCTGTCTGTCTGTCTGTCTGTCTGTCTGTCTGTCTGTCTGTCTGTCTGCCTGCCTGCCTGTCTGTCTGTCTGTCTGTCTGTCTGTCTGTCTGTACATTCGTCTGTTTGTCCGCTAATATTGATAGCTCAAACGGCACATAACGGCCGACCCCATCCACAGCACCCACCAATATTGCTCAATGTTAAGCGTTCGTACTTGTGCGATTGTTAATTAAAATGTAATTATTGAGCATACCTGAGGTACCATAACAACACGCCGAAGTTTTGTATGTGTGGCTTTGTACTAGAGAAGGCACACACACAAGTAATTCTAAGGATCGTAGCGTATATCACGCTGCGCTGACAGTGCAACGCGACGCTCGAAAAGGTAAGTGCTTCCAACGCTTTGCTAAGACGACATGGTGGTGGCGCCTGCCCGTCGCTTTGCGTTCTACACCTTATCACCTCCGAGACAAGCGCGCATCTTCCTCCGCGGGCGCGCACGCCTTCCTTCGTATTCGAACTGCCAGATGGCACTAGTATCTAACGTGCCTAGATGCGCTCGTTCGCCTCCGCTACACGCTCGCGGCACTAACGCAGTGCCTCCAGAATACCATTCAACAATTTTCTTGTGCAGAACATCAAATAAATGTTTTGTTCACTCTCTCCAAGCGCGCGATTATCGTCTTTCGACGACATATGCAGTGTAACATGCCGATTCGGAGCCAATTTTTTATATGTTTGTAAACCGTGGTATACACACCATCGACACAGGGACGAACTTGTAGCGATGCAGCAATGTCGCTACAAGCACCTCAGCATGTTGACGGCACCTATCGCTGTTTACAAACGCGGAATAGCTTGAAGTGACATCAAATCCCTGTTGACTTAAGCATAGACATCTGTCGCCATTGCCATTTTGACCAAGCTGTGGTGTACTTCTAGCGATAGCAATCCAGCAATCTCGCTTAGCAGTGCGCCGCGTTTACCGATAAGCGACGTCCTGATGGGTAGCGCGAGCGGCCTTCGGTCTCCCCATGTCGGTGTCTTCGCATTCGAAAGATTAGCGGCCGGCTTATACAGCGGCCGGCTTATACAGTTTCACTGAAAAAATTTGTGTTGTCACACCGGCGTTCATGGGCTGAAATTTCAGCACGATATTCAAACAGTACTGAGCTGCTCAACAATGTAACTACACAGCTTTACATCACTAGAACCTGAAAGCTAAACGATTGCATAGCGGTATATACATGTACCGAATAGGCCTAGCAACCCAGCAGGCCTTTTCATATTTGCCCGAACGACGCAAGACACACAAAAATGTATTGCTGGCTGCCCGTCCCTTTCAATTACCTCTGATGATGCCCATAGAGAAATTGACCATGCTAATCATCGCCGACATGTGCTAGGAACGGCTTTTATTTTACTACACTGCGCCCACTGACGTAAGGCGCCGCCGACAAACACGCGATCGCCAACGTCTTCGTGTGACGTCATTCCTATTTTCTCGTGCGCTCGCACATCGGGGTTCCGTCGTCGAGCGTGAGCCGCCGCCGCCTTGCGAGTATCATACTTTTTATCGGCAAACCGTGAATCATTCAAAGTAACACCAGAGCGGGAGGGCGGAATCCCGACTTTGTTGTTGTTAATAGCACGAAAACCACGTCGCAGCAAAAATACTTTTATGTGTGCTTAGAGTATCCCCCCCCCCTCAATCATTCTAATTGGTGATAGGAGATGGATAACAAGCACTGAAGAGAGGAGTGTGTGCTGACACAGGCCTTAGGTGGAGGGGCGATCGTTTCTATCGCCTCTCTCTGGATTTACCACCGCCCATTCCTTCAGGACCACGTAGTGGGTGCATGGCAAGTTCGAAAAGGTTTCATGCACTATGTTTCAAGTACGAACTAGGAACAGGATATCGGTATCGCGTTCAGCTCCAAAAGGCGAAGCTTTAGGGTCTCCTAATCTTTCTGTAAGTGTAGCGATGACATGACATCACATGACAACACCCATCTCCCTCCTCCCCCATCTACCAACTTAAGTTGCGAAAGCAGTTTAGGGACACTCCAGGCGAAAATTCAATGAAGTCGTAGTGCTGTTCCGTAAAAGGATTAAGTGGGAGGGGATCTCAACGCTCCATGCAAGTGTCCCGCCATGGAATCGAGAGAATGCATTGTTGTGGCGTAGTATTGCGTTAACGTAGCTGGAAGAAGCTTCGGGAGGAGCATCCCTGGTGTACGCGGGAAGTTCCGGCGCTGTGCACGGAGGCAGTTTTGCAGGTGCCGTGCCAGTCGTCACGTGATCGTAAGGAGGGGGGACGAGCGTTGGGCTGGACGGAGCCCACAATTGCTCCGTAAAAAAGCTTCACATTGCTCGCGATTCAGCGTAGGCCTCGCTTTGACATCATTCAGAGGGTGCTAAGCTGGCCTCAACACAGGCGGCACTGCTGATTTCTGTTACAGTCTGGAGCTGCGCGACTCCACAGGTGCCACATCACTTGTCACAAAATTCATAATGATCGAGGTTTACGCTAAATTTGTTACCAAATCGACACTGTTCTTTTTTTTGCCACATCACCTTGACGGCAATCTAACATTTCCGAGCAGTCTTGTTGCTTCTGTTATGACTGCAAATCTGAGCTCACTATACTATAAACACGTGCTCGAGTATAAACATTTTTTTCTTATTGTTTTCAAAGTAGAAAAATTGATCACGCTATTTTACATTTGTCAAAGGAAAGGAGCACAATATAAAGACTTCATAGTTGTAGAATACAACAGTGACAACACATGAGTGTCCACCGTGGTGGTGCTGCTGTTGCAGCGCCCAGATGGTGATCTGAAGGTTGCAGGTTCGAATGCGGTCTTGGCGGTCGTGTTAGATGTCAGAGCCCGGTAAAGAACACCACATGATCGAAAATTTTTCAAGCCCTTGCTTAGGCATGCCTCATAATCTTTTGTGCTTGTGACTCATTTTAAATCTACAGATATATTTTACAACGCAAGAGCTAAGTTTTGTATTTACGCCATCCAATCTTTGGCCTTATTCCGCACTAGTTACCAGCACGTGATATTAAAAGTAGACATCTATTGTGGTCCACCACGGCAGTGATTTCAGATGCATTTTTCAGGAACTTCGTAATTGTTCTTGCTGAGAGCAGTTAGTGCTACATGGAACTTATATCTATCAGGTCGAGCGTGCAGCCAGTACTGTGAGAACTGCGTCGTCTGAATGCGTGAGTTAACATCCGCCTTCTTAAAACGGAGCTGCGTTTTAATCGAGCTACAAATGACATCCGCAGAAAGTGCAGAGAGGCGTGCCGACACGCCAAAATGAAGGCGGTCTGCGGCGTCAAGATGTTGCCAGGTGCCATCTGCGACGGCACCCGTGGTTTCTGCGACGTCTTCCAGAAGTGTCGCCGCTCTGACGAGCAAGGGCCGCTCACAAGGCTGGAGCAGGCGCTATTCGGTGGCAAGACCATCAATACTGTCACGGGCTACATAAATGTGAGTGAAACTTCGCGTGAATTTCGACTCGCATTCGTTAGAAACCCAGTCAATAGAATTCACAACACTTAATTCCATGAGCTAATTCACCTTCTCAACATTCTGTTGGCTAAGGCGAATAGCGAAGAACGCTTGCAGACAAGAGATAGAATTCGAACTTTTTTTTTTTGCGTCAGCTAGTGGCGAGAAAAACCCCCGCTTGGTCCCCCGTGGTGATATACAACCCAGCGGCAAGATTGCGACCCCTTTCATAGCAATTACGCGAGCCCGGTCACTTGCGATATCGTGATCGTTGGCGGGGTAACTCTCGAGAACGCAATTTCAAAGGCCAGTGGGTGTTTTAAATTGTCATAGTTGGTACGGGAATCGAGTAGATAGCTAGCCCACGATGAAGCGCGTACTGTTGCCAGCTTTGACATGACATGCAGAAGCAACAACGCCAGCTGTCCACCTGGGAAGCCCAAAAGCAACAACACCGTCTGCCACAAGGGTTCTCAAGTGTGCGTCAGTGGCGAGTGCACCGGCTCAGTGTGTATCAAGTACGGCTTGAAGGGTTGCACCCTCGTCGGATCGCGATACACCGCTGACCAGAAGTGCTTGGTGGCCTGTGAAACGGAAGATGGTAGGCCTGTATACATACTGTATATATATTCCAGTGTATATGTTCATTTATTTATTTATTTGTTTGTTTATTTATATATTTGTTTATTTATTTAATTATTTATTAACGTCAGTTGTATCGTGAATCAGACGCGACGCACGTCTTGTCTTCGGCCTCATGATAAAAAATAATTGTTCACTGACACATAATAAAACACACGCCACACAGGCTACACTCAAATACCACACAAGCTACTAAACGCCACACAGACCAAACTGCTCGAATATCTCCCCCTCAACGTCGCCGTCTTTCTTCACTGTCCACAAAAGGACGCGCCCATTTCCAACACACGGAGAACCAAGGGGCCCGAAGCGCCGGCAGAGAAGAAGGCTGTGCTACTTCCTTCTCCTCAGCCCACGCTTCGGGCGCCGGGCCTCGTGTTCTCCGTGCGTCGCGTCCAACGCACGATACAACTAGCGCTAAAGGACTCGTTTCGCTGAAACTACGGCATTGCTGGTCGTGAGTGAAAATTCATCATCTTACGCGTTTTTGAAAAGTCAAGAACAATGCAAATAAAATATAATTTAAAAAAATGGCAGCATATCCACGGGGTGAACGATGGAGAGTGGGACGAAGCTGGGTCCGCACGCCGCTACCGCGCCGCTTGGGCCTCCCGTTCTCGTACGCCGGTATCTTATCGGCGACGTTGCCGCGCAGCTTCACGGCACGCTTCTGCCTCGCGCGCTCGCACATCAGGGTTCCGTCTTCGAGCGCGAGCCGCCACCGCCTTGCGAGTATCACACTTTTTATCGGCAAACCGCGAATCATCCGAAGTAACACCAGAGCGGGAGGGCGGAATCCTGACTTTGTTGTTGTTAATAGCACGAAAACCACGTCGCAGCAAAAATACTTTTATGTGTGCTTAGAGTATCCCCCCCCCTCAATCATTCTAATTGGTGATAGGAGGTGGATAACAAGCACTGAAGAGAGAGGGGTGTGCTGACACAGGCTTTAGGTGGAGGGGCTGATCGTTTCCATCGCCTCTCTTCTGGATTCACCACCGGCCTATTCCTTCAGGACCACGTAGTGGGTGCATAGCAAGTTCGAGAAGGTTTCATGCACTATGTTTCAAGTACGAACTAGGAACAGGATATCGCTATCGCGTTCAACTCCTAAAGGCGAAGCTTTAGGGTCTCCTAATTTTTTAGTATGCGTAGCGATGACATGACATCCCGTGACAACACCCATATCCCTCCTCCCTCATCTATCAACTTATGTTGCGAATGCAGTTTAGGGACGACACTCCAGGCCAAAATTCAGTGATGTCGTAGTGCTGTTCCGTAAAAGGATTAAGTGGGAGAGGATCTGAACGCTCCATGCAAGTGGCCCGCCGTGGAATCGAGAGAATGCATTGTTGTGGCGTAGTACTGGGTTAACGTAGCTGGAAGAAGCTTCGGGAGGAGCCTCTCTGGTGTACGTGGAAAGTTCCTGCGCTGTGCACGGAGGCAGTTTTGCAGGTGCCGTTCCAGTTGGCACGTGATCGTAAAGAGGGAGGGCGAGGTTGGGCTGGCCGGAGTCCACAATTGCTCCGTAAAAAAGCTTCACGTTGCTCGCGATTCAGCGTAGGCCTCGCTTCGACATCATTCAGAGGGTGCTAAGCTGGCCTCAACACAGGCGGCACTGCTGATTTCTGTTACAGTCTGGAGCTGCGCGACTCCACTGGTGCCACATTACTTGTCACAAAATTCATAATGATCGAGCTTTACGCTAAATGTGTTACCAAATCGACACTGTTCTTTTTTTGCCGCATCACCTTGACGGCAATCTAACATTTCCGAGCAGTCTTGTTGCTTCTTTATGAATGCAAATCTGAGCTCACTATACTTTAAACACGTGCTCGAGTATAAACATTTTTTCTTATTGTTTTCAAAGTAGAAAAATTGATCACGTTATTGTACATTTGTCAAAGGAAGGGAGCACATTATAAAGACTTCATAGTTGTAAAACAGAACAGTGACAACACATGAGTGTCCGCAGCGGTGGCGCTGCTGTTGCAGTGTCCAGATAGTGATCCGAAGGTTGCAGGTTCGAACGCGGTCTTGGCGGTCGTGTTCAGATGTCAGTGCACGTTAAATAACACCACATGATTGAAAAGTTTTCAAGTCCTCTACTTCGGCATGCCTCATAATCTTATCGTGCTTATGACTCTTAAATCTACAGATATTTTACGATGCAAGAGCTTAAGTTTTTTTACTTACGCTATCCAGTCTTTGGCCTTGTTTTGCACTAGTTACCAGCACGCGATATTAAGATTAGACATCTATTGTGGTCCACCACGGCAGTGATTTCAAATGCGTTTTTTAGGAACATCCTAATTGCGCTTGATGAGAGCAGTTAGCGCAACATGGAACTTATTTTCTATCAGGTCGGGCGTGCGGCCAGTACTGTGAGAACTGCGTCGTTTGAATGCGTGAATTAACATCCGCCTTCTTAAAACGGAGCTGCTATTTTAATCAAGCTGCAAATCACATCCGCAGGAAAGTGCAGGGAGGCGTGCCTACACGCCAAAATGAAGGCGGTCTGTGGCGTCAAGATGTTGCCAGGTGCCATCTGCGACGGCACCCGTGGTTTCTGCGACGTCTTCCAGAAGTGTCGCCGCTCTGACGAGCAAGGGCCGCTCACAAGGCTGGAGCAGGCGCTATTTGGTGGCAAGACCATCAATACTGTCACGGGCTACATAAATGTGAGTGAAACTGCGCATGAATTTCGACCCGCTTTCGTCAGAAACTCAGTCAATAAAATTCACGATACACAGGCTACACTCAAATACCACACAAGCTAATAAACGCCACACAGACCAGACTGCTCGAATATCTCTCCTCAACGTCGCCGTCTTTCTTCACTGTCCATAAAAGGGCGCGCCCATTTCCAACACACGGAGAACCAAGGGGCCCGAAGCGCCGGCAGGGAAGAAGGCTGTGCTACTTCCTTCTCCTCCTCAGCCCATGCTTCGGGCGCCGGGCCTCGTGTTCTCCGTGCGTCGCATCCAACGCACGATACAACTAGCGTTAAAGGACTCGTTTCGCTGAAACTACGGCATCGCTTGTCGTGAGCGAAAAATAATCATCTTATGCATTTCAGAAAAATCAAGAACAATGCAAATAAAATATAATTTAAAAAAATGACAGCACATCCACGGGGTGAACGTTGGAGAGTGGGCCGAAGCTGGGTCCGCACGCCGCTGCCGCGCCGCTTGGGCCTCCCGTTCTCGTACGCCGATATCTTATCGGCGACGCTGCCGCGCAGCTTCACGGCACTCTTCTTCCTCGCGCGCTCGCACATCGAGGTTCAGTCTTTGAGCGCAAGCGGCCGCCACCTTGTGTGCACGCCGCTCTGCAGCCTTGTCCATACGCCGACCTTCTAAAGGCGCTCGCGTGCCAGAACGGCTTTTATTTTACTACACTGCGCCCACTGACGTAAGGCGCCGCCGAGAAACACGCGATCGCCAACGTCTTCGTGTGACGTCATTCCTATTTTCTCGTGCGCTCGCACATCGGGGTTCCGTCCTCGCGCGCCAGCCGCCGCCGCCTTGCTAGTATCACACTTTTTATCGGCAAACCGTGAATCATCCGAAGTAACACCAGAGCGGGAGGGCGGAATCCTGACTTTGTTGTTGTTAATAGCACGAAAACCACGTCGCAGCAAAAATACTTTTATGTGTGCTTAGAGTATCCCCCCCCCCTCAATCATTCTAATTGGTGATAGGAGATGGATAACAAGCACTGAAGAGAGGAGTGTGTGCTGACACAGGCCTTAGGTGGAGGGGGCGATCGTTTCTATCGCCTCTCTTCTGGATTTACCACCGGCCCATTCCTTCAGGACCACGTAGTGGGTGCATGGCAAGTTCGAAAAGGTTTCATGCACTATGTTTCAAGTACGAACTAGGAACAGGATATCGGTATCGCGTTCAGCTCCAAAAGGCGAAGCTTTAGGGTCTCCTAATCTTTCTGTAAGTGTAGCGATGACATGACATCACATGACAACACCCATCTCCCTCCTCCCCCATCTACCAACTTAAGTTGCGAAAGCAGTTTAGGGACACTCCAGGCGAAAATTCAATGAAGTCGTAGTGCTGTTCCGTAAAAGGATTAAGTGGGAGGGGATCTCAACGCTCCATGCAAGTGTCCCGCCATGGAATCGAGAGAATGCATTGTTGTGGCGTAGTATTGCGTTAACGTAGCTGGAAGAAGCTTCGGGAGGAGCATCCCTGGTGTACGCGGGAAGTTCCGGCGCTGTGCACGGAGGCAGTTTTGCAGGTGCCGTGCCAGTCGTCACGTGATCGTAAGGAGGGGGGACGAGCGTTGGGCTGGACGGAGCCCACAATTGCTCCGTAAAAAAGCTTCACATTGCTCGCGATTCAGCGTAGGCCTCGCTTTGACATCATTCAGAGGGTGCTAAGCTGGCCTCAACACAGGCGGCACTGCTGATTTCTGTTACAGTCTGGAGCTGCGCGACTCCACAGGTGCCACATCACTTGTCACAAAATTCATAATGATCGAGGTTTACGCTAAATTTGTTACCAAATCGACACTGTTCTTTTTTTTGCCACATCACCTTGACGGCAATCTAACATTTCCGAGCAGTCTTGTTGCTTCTGTTATGACTGCAAATCTGAGCTCACTATACTATAAACACGTGCTCGAGTATAAACATTTTTTTCTTATTGTTTTCAAAGTAGAAAAATTGATCACGCTATTTTACATTTGTCAAAGGAAAGGAGCACAATATAAAGACTTCATAGTTGTAGAATACAACAGTGACAACACATGAGTGTCCACCGTGGTGGTGCTGCTGTTGCAGCGCCCAGATGGTGATCTGAAGGTTGCAGGTTCGAATGCGGTCTTGGCGGTCGTGTTTAGATGTCAGAGCCCGGTAAAGAACACCACATGATCGAAAATTTTTCAAGCCCTCTGCTTAGGCATGCCTCATAATCTTTTTGTGCTTGTGACTCATTTTAAATCTACAGATATATTTTACAACGCAAGAGCTTAAGTTTTGTATTTACGCCATCCAATCTTTGGCCTTATTCCGCACTAGTTACCAGCACGTGATATTAAAAGTAGACATCTATTGTGGTCCACCACGGCAGTGATTTCAGATGCATTTTTCAGGAACTTCGTAATTGTTCTTGCTGAGAGCAGTTAGTGCTACATGGAACTTATATCTATCAGGTCGAGCGTGCAGCCAGTACTGTGAGAACTGCGTCGTCTGAATGCGTGAGTTAACATCCGCCTTCTTAAAACGGAGCTGCTGTTTTAATCGAGCTACAAATGACATCCGCAGGAAAGTGCAGAGAGGCGTGCCGACACGCCAAAATGAAGGCGGTCTGCGGCGTCAAGATGTTGCCAGGTGCCATCTGCGACGGCACCCGTGGTTTCTGCGACGTCTTCCAGAAGTGTCGCCGCTCTGACGAGCAAGGGCCGCTCACAAGGCTGGAGCAGGCGCTATTCGGTGGCAAGACCATCAATACTGTCACGGGCTACATAAATGTGAGTGAAACTTCGCGTGAATTTCGACTCGCATTCGTTAGAAACCCAGTCAATAGAATTCACAACACTTAAGTCCATGAGCTAATTCACCTTCTCAACATAACATACTGTTGGCTAAGGCGAATAGCGAAGAACACTTGCAGACAAGAGATAGAATTCGTAATTCTTTTATTTCGTATTCTTCGACATCGATGGGTCGCTGTCGCTTATGTATGTAGCAGTGTCGTGATCACACTCTAAGAAAAAAAGTGGGTGTGTCTCTCTTTGAATAGTCCGGATATTCACGTAAATGACACTCTTTAAAGAAGCACGTCAACGCTACTGTAGGTCACATGACTCTCAGCACACAGTATAATGACCCCGAAGAGAGTTGACGCGACTCCTTAAATAAAGAGAGTAATATACGTAGCAAGCTAGAACACTCAAGAAATAGCCAGAGCGCTATTTATTCATTTTCGAAGTGTAGATGAAACTCTCCTTTTTCAAAGATGGTTATCGTAAAAGCTTCATGAAAACTGCAGTTCGTTTGTTGCCGTCAATCTGACCCCGCGCTTTGCTTGTATGGAAGTTCCATTACATCCTTTCGGCCCCCGCGCGTCGTTCGTCGGGGTAGCCGCATGGCAAGCGCGCCGTATACAAAGCACTATACAGTGTCGGAGGAGATGGTGAGATTATGAGCCCTCAGGGGAAGCAAGTGAGCGCGCTTCTCCTTCAAGACCTGCATAATGACACGGGAGTGCCATTATGTAAGCACCAACTCACCTGGAAGACTATCAAACGGTGCGACATGAGATAATTAAGAAAATTCTCGTACCGAGTAGTTCTGTTCTTTAGTATTGCCCCCGCCGCGGTGGTCTAGTGGCTAAGGTACTCGGCTGCTGACCCGCTGGTCGCGAGATCGAATCCCGGCAGTGGCGGCTGCATTTCCGATGGAGGCGGAAATGTTGTAGGCCCGTGTGCTCAGATTTGGATGCACGTTAAAGAACCCTGGGTGGTCGAAATTTCCGGAGTCCTTCACTACGGCATCTCTCATGTCGTTTTGGGACGTTAAATTCCACATATCATGTTCTTTAGTATTAAGATCTAACATCAATGCCGATGAACACGCTGTTAAATCGGGCTTTCGTTGTGCGATAGACTGATTTAACTGCGTTCAGACCACTTTGGAGCGCGCAAGCGATTGTTACGACAGCCCGCCAAAAAGTGCGAAGCTCTGGTTGGCCCATCACTTTGTAATGGATTATAGACGCCTCTTCCGAAGAAATTAGAAGTTAGGGGGGAAAATAGGATGTGCAGGCAGGGCACCGAAGGTGCAGGAAAAAGACTCGGAATCGTCTGGCGCAGACCCATAGCATAGACTTTTTGTTTTGTTTTGTTTTGGTGGAAAGGGTGGCACTTGCTGTAGGCCATCATTATTCGAGAAAAATAACCATTTCTTTATTGAAGTTACGGTACACCTCCTTTTAAAAAATTCAGAAGGAGGGGGGGGGGGAATAGGGCCACCCCATCCCTTGGCCTGGCGTAGGGATTCTTCGACAAAATCGGGAGCCCCTACTCCGAAGAAAATAAGGGGCCAGTGATCCTTGGCGCCTGCGGCTTACGTTTTCTTCTTTCCTTCGTCCTTCCTTTCTTTTTTTTTATTTTCTTTCTTCTGTTGCATTGAGCCACGCGCTCTACAGTTTTCTTCTTGCATATCAGTAGTAGCACATTCATGCACGTGCTTAGCAGTGGAACACTTCAGTCGTTACAGGCGAAAATGACGGCTATGTGTTTCCTGAATGCGTGAATTAACATCCGTATTCTTAAAAAGGAGCTGCCCTCTTAATTACATCCGCAGGAAAGTGCAGATAGGCGTGCCGACACGCCAAAATGAAGGTGGTCTGCGGCGTCGAGATGTTGCCAGGTGCCATCTGCGGCGACGGCAACTGGCAACACGAAACTGTAACTCGCTGCAACTTGAAATGACAAGTCGCCTTGTTAAAATATTTAATTGTCTTATCAAACGGCTCATAGCTCATGAT